TCTGGTCCCCTTCTTTCTTAGACCCAAGTAAATCATTAGAGTAATTAGTAGGCGCAATTTCCGCGCTCATAAATTTACGACCAACTTACTTCCAAATAATTCGCCAGGAGCCCTACATTTTTATTTTAAAAAAATAGATCATCATTGACTCTCTCCTCAGAAATCTTCGTCTTCTCCGTCTGAGCTCACTAAAAATGGTAAAATCGGTCCTTTGGGCGACGGAATTATAATCCTGTCGGCTTTTAAGGGTTACGCACGGTAGGCAGTTACATATAGGGTCCCCTTCCTCGTTTTATTCCGCTCCACCAATCCTGTTCGCTGTTGCAGGCCAGTGTCACCGGAAGATCTCGTTCTGTCTGGCACTTTATTCCCGTCTATATCCTCCCGCCTCGCCTCTGGCCAGACTTTGAGGATACCCCCGATCCCGAATTCGATGTAAGTCGCTTGTTATTATCCCATAACTTCCTTTTACGTCACTCTCCTTCCATTCGCTAGCGCTTGTACTTACTACTGCTGGTCGGCGTGACTCCCCAACACTAAATAGTTGGTTTATGAACCTTACTTCAGTCAGCTGAGAGCAAGCGACCATGTTGAGGTATGTGCATAAGGGGGGTTTTCTATTCCCGAAGCCGTTTCGAAAGATTTTGGTCTATTCTCTCCGTTGAAACGCGATGGCTATGCAGTGAGAGACTGGGGTTTATGTCATGAAAGCCTCCCTCACTGTGATCTAACTCACGAACAACTCCACGTGCACATTCATCCAGCTGCCAACTTCCTCCAACCCATTTTCCACTAGCTCTGTACAGGATATACTATTACTCCGACCTGGCATCCCACTTCTCTTCCTACACGGAACCGGACCTGAAAATGGCAGCGGCCAGGGTCTTCTCTATTAAATTAAGCAACCGCGATAGCCACTGTTATTGGTAGTCATCGTTATTTGACAGAGCAACTATCGGCTGATCCTGCTTACCATGATTTTTTCCACATCCGAGCTGATTTTTAACTGTTATGACTGCACAAACGACTGTCAGGCCTTATCTTCATTCCTTTTTTTCTCATATCAGACACAAGACGTGCGCATTTTTTCCCGCCTTGTTTGACTTACTTTACTGTTTTGCCTTGATTGGCTTTCCCAACTCGGAAAGAGTCTAGTCAAAGGATGACTTATATGGCCGCTCAAACCGGGACACGGGAATGTGAAGAGTCTGCCCACTTAAACTGCGTGGCCTTGTGATAAATTCCAGGAAGGGTAAATATTCCGTGTCATAATCCTTAAAAAAAACCCTATCATGAAAGTTAACTGTGACATTAATCTCAACCCTAGCCCTACCCTAAACCTAAACCCTACAGGTAACACGAATCCAAACCTCTATCCTTCAAATAATTGCTACCCTAACCCCAATGCTGAGCTTAATCTTAAATCTAAACTGAACCGTTACCCTCACAGAGCTACTAAGCATAATTTCACTTGATGTTGGGCGGTTCCTGTTCCCGCGTCCTGTTTAGGTGACCATGCAAGTTATTTTTATCCATTCTCGTTGTGCAACCGTTTTATATGCACTGCTTGTGGTTTTGTTTCCGGATATTAGTATTCGCGGATGTATTTGGAAATCCTTCTCTCCAGGAAGACTTTCTACGCATATATAAACTTCGAGATTGAACTTATGCCAGTGACTGTCTTATTTATTTACAAATGTCTAGATTTTGTTTCTGTCAATTGCATTTATCTTCTGTTATGCGTGTCTTCCGAGCTTATTGATGCCCTTCAAGTGCATTTTAGTTTTTATCAGTCCTTCGTTGTCTCGCTCGCCAAGTTTTTGAGCAAATGCGTTTGAGCTAGAGGACTACCAAGCGATTGCTTTATTTCTGCAAGAAAATCACCCGTCATGAAACGGCCGATGATGGTTACCGAACATCAATTTCCGGATTCAGTCCCAAGCCAACTCTAAAATAGGGAGACTTCGAACGGACTATGAAATGTAACACGGGGTTCGTGTAAATCGCAGGAGTTCCTGACAACTGAGTTTGTATTGTGATATAAACAGAGAGACTTTCGATGATAAACAAAGTCTTTGAGTGGAGTGCTTTCAAGCTCTTTGCTGCTTCAGCCCACGGCAGAATATATCGAAGTAAAGCACTCTGAAGCTGCTGCCGCTTAGATAAAGTCGAGATACTCTTATAAAATACACTCCCACCCGCAAGCGGAATTCTTCGTTGTGCACAATATTTTTGCAATATTTACAGCGTCTCTTTCTTCCTTTATAGCCAGTTTTCCATTTTGTACTAGGTGACTGTGTTTTACCATCGGAAAGTAGCTAATCGTTTCTGTGTTTTTTCTTTTAGCTTAGTATATTCCTGCCGCCTGTGCGGAATCTCCGGCTTTTCATTGACAGAATGAAGCGCTTTGCAAGGTTTATTGTAAGTTTTCGATTTCTGGCACTTCCCTATGTCCGGTCCTTGTGTCAGAGTTTCGTTTGTATTTCCTCTCTTACCGACTTAAATCTTATCAAATCTCTTCAAGAATTTGTGAAATGCAGTTGATTAGAAATCACTACCTGTTACCTTTTGAATCCCGGACTTATCTAGCTTAGGGTTTTCTATCTTTATTATCAGACCCATTCCTTTATTGCTTCCCTGCTTACTCCTGCATAAATTGGTAGATCCGTGTGGGAAAAGCGTATATTCTACCGCTAAGTAGATCTGCGTTATGTTGTGGAAAGTGGAATTTCGAGAGAAATCCTATAAAATAATCTGGATTCTATTGATGTCTTTCATACCTAGCTACTTCATTCAGTCGCCTTCTCCGGAGTTTGATCGTTTTTTTGCCATAATAGTAAAGGGTTTCTTATATAAATTCGGAATTTACCAATTGAGTTACAGGCTTCTGACTCATTCAACCACTATAAGCAAAGGTCTCTGCATGCTTACTGATAAGATTTATATCGCTAGTCATATATCAACCTTTGCATGTAATTTTCTCACCCGTGAGGTCTGCTTAGCTACCAGTGGTCGTAGTTAAATTGTTTCACACCACCTCCGGTATTGAAATGTACTATTTTGTAAATCTAGATTTAGTATGCCATCTGAATGATAAACGAGACGTAGTCTCCAACATCCTTCCGCATGACGCTCTTGGAAGTCTAGGGCACCTTGAATGTTGCGTGCGGAGTGTCATTCAGCTAAAGTGTCATGAGACGAAGACGTCGACTTCCTTTAACTTTATGTGCGCCAGCTTTCCGTACGAAATAACTTAAAACCCAAACCTTGGACTATACTACCACTAAGAAAGCACATTTTATACTGTTAATCCTTCGCTAAGTACGACGTTTCTGTTTGTCTGTTTTGGTTAGCAGCACTGGCGAACGTTAACCCTGTTTCCCTCCGGCGTTGTATTGATTCTTAGAGCTAGTACTCTGGCCCTAAGTCCTTTGAAGAACTTAAACTTTTTCCATTCGGTGGTGTCCTTCTGGCTCTGCGCCCATATTCGCCAGTATTATGACCTATGAGCATAACACAAGCTGATACACTTCAAGTCATTGTCAATCAGCGTTAACGCATTGAGTCACAGATATAGCTGATGTACTACCGCATGCTCTCCCCCCCTCCAAGATTGTGGTTTCTTGACCTATCTATTTACTGAATGATACTTCACGCCGGCGCTATATCATTTGCTATTTGCGTTTTCTATTTCAACTGCTTCGCCAACCCCGTAGAATAGAGCTTGATGTTGGGGGGGGGTTGGGGGTAGCTGGACCTTGGCCTCAAGTATTGAGTTTCATAAAGATTATTTGTTGTCCTGATTCGCTTGTTGAAGTCCGTCCTTGATAATCGCTTCACAGCGGAAAATATGACCTGTCCCCAGTTTACTTACTCTTATTAACAGACCGTG